CTTGTGTCAACAGAACAGGCTGATAAAGGGCGTCTACCCCGCCAGCCCCTCCTCATGGCTGTTCGTCGTCATCGCCATCCTGGCCACCATGTACATGCGCTCTGATCCCAGCATGGGTCTAATCGCCAAGATACAACAACACCTGCCTCTGAGGTACTGCACACACACACACACACACACACACACACACACACACACACACACACAGAGGAAACGTGATGTTGTGTTCAGTGAGGATGTGACTGAAGAACAGTTGTCTCCATCAAAGTCTCTGAGATTTACAGTCTACAGTCTCCATGTCCTGACTCAGTCCTGACTCAGTCCTGACTCAGTTGTATTCATATATATATATATGTACATCTGTCTGTGTCTGTGTCTGTGTGTGAAGGACAACTGACAGAGGCAGCAGCTCAAACAGCAGAGGTGAGGGGACAGTGGGGGGACAGTAGGGGGACAGTAGGGGGACAGTAGGGGGACAGTGTCCACTGGTGCCCAAACACTGGCCACGACCCAAGTCTAATGACAGACCAGTGTGGTCTGTAGCTGGTAGCAGTGGTGTAGACTGATCTGACCAATCAGATGTGACCAACACATGAGTCATCATGGGGTGGTGGGGGGGGTGGGGGGGTGTTTCCTCTGCACTTGAACTTTGCCCTACTTCCTCTGTGTCCGTGCTGTGTTTGACACTGTCTGCTGCGCACACACACACACACACACACACACCCGGGCCCATGTTTCTGTCACTGTATGGAGTAAAAATCACTGAGTCACCATGACTCAGTGATTAATTAGAAAAATGTTCTTTCAGTTCAATCTCACACACACACACACACACACACACACCTTTCATATTGTAGAAATATTCCATGGAGTTTACTTCACCGTCAGGGAGCTGAGGCTCAGACCCCGACTCTCTGCAGGTGGAGCTCACCTCTTACCTGACAACTGGTTCACCAGGGTTAACCAGGGTTAAACAGAGACCCCTACAGTCTAACCAGGGTTAACCAGAGACCCCTACAGTCTAACCAGGGTTAACCAGAGACCCCTACAGTCTGACCAGGGTTAACCAGGGTTAAACAGAGACCCCTACAGTCTAACCAGGGTTAACCAGAGACACCTGCAGTCTAACCAGGGTTAACCAGAGACACCTGCAGTCTAACCAGGGTTAACCAGAGACCCCTACAGTCTAACCAGGGTTAACCAGAGACCCCTACAGTCTGACCAGGGTTAACCAGGGTGACGTGGAGTTGGACCTTGTCTCTTCTGCTGTTCTTCCTGTTCATTGGTCGCTGCCCTCGGTGTCGGCTGAATTCTAAACCAGCCGTTGGAATTTAACCCAAGAAAGTTTAACGTTTCAGATGATTGCCTCTGTAAATATGGTACTTACACTGCCCTCTGTTGGTGCACATAAGTACTGTATTTGACCCTGGAACAGCAGACTAATTAAAGCTGGTTCTTCTCTGTGGTCCTGTAGTCTCCACGTGTCCCTCAGCGCTCAGGGCCAGACCATGGTCTCAGCCCTGGTCTTCAGCACGCTGCTCTGGCTCTCCCTCATCCTCACTCTCAGGTTCTGCCTGAAGCTGCTGCTCTCCTACCACCAGTGGATGTTTGAACAGCACGGCCGTGTCTCCAACACCACCAAAGTCTGGGTGGTAAGAACTTTTCTGTTTTTCTACCAGAGTCAGGAGCCAATCACAGCTGGGACTGGGTCGGTGGACCGTCGAGAGTCCGTCCATACGATAGGTACCAGGAGACGGGGGCCGTAGGATACACTGAGATACTATAGTCACGACAATATGTAGATGACATCACAAACTGGTCACGTCCTGACGTTAATGTTGTTGTTAATGAAACAGAAATAGACTTGGGTTTTTTTTT